GCAGTATATAAGTCTCATAAATAAATAAATAAACCCTAAGAGCCCAATCAATCCAGTGCATACAGTGCATTTTAATTAACTATATATAGCAATAAACTGCTAAGTATTTGGGATGCCAAGTATTGTAATAAACCCTAGAATAATGCGTTTAGTGCACAGCTTCATATATGCTTCATATGTATCTACAATAGTCAATTACAAAAACTGCATGATCAGTGCCATAAGCATAGAAACATAGAAAACTGATGGCAAAAAAAGACCCAGTGATCTATCAGGTCTGTCCTTTGAAGTCTGTCTGTCTGTCTATTATTTTTAATTATTAATTTGTATTAATATTTTATTAGCATAATGGTGTGTCGCAGTTAGGCAGATGTTCAGATTGGATTTGGCATTTTTATTCACCTTCCCAAGGGCCGGGGATGGGCAAATGTTAATGTTTTGTGGTTTTAGAAGTATGGTCGCAGGATGTAAGCTGTTCTAAGTAATGCCTTTTGCAATTTACTGATGGTAGATTTGTTGGTTATAAAAATGTCTTCCTGTATTATCATATCATAGAACACCAAATAAATGTTTGTTTCTTTACTCTATAGCTCTTGCATAAACCTTGTCTGAGGCTGATGAAAAAAGGTAAAACTTCTTTGAAATTGGGATCAACTTCTTATGGCCAATGGACATGTCCATGCTATTTTCTTGTTAACAGTATAAGACTGAGTTGTCACTGCTTTTTCTGGGATTTTTTTAATATCCCCCTCTAGCCTAAGTCCTGGGTTTTCTTAGCAATCCCCCATCAAAGAACTAACCATGTCTGACTTTTCTATAAGATCAGCCATGGTTGGCTAGGAGCTGCCTCGCTGCTATGAGAACTGAAGCTGATGTTACATACCAATTATCATTACTAAGCCATGTTTGCAATGACAGCAAAGAATGGTAAGAAGTGAAGGGCATATGTCTGAGAGCATTGGAACTTTATATCTCAATACCGTTTTCAAGTCTTCATTGATAGAAATGCATAAATCTGACAAGCTCACATCTGAACTATAAAGTGGCAGTAATAGCACTGAAGTGCTCATACTTTTCTACTTGTCAGAGGAGTGTTATACAGTGGCCTTGTGTAAGACTGCCTCTTCTTTTTAGAGAGCAAGAAGAGTTGCTGTCTGGTTGTTGTAACTTCTTGTCACAGCATTTTGCTTATATCCATCATAGTTTTAATACCTCGTAGACAGAGTCTAAAATGGTGTCAACTCTTGCAGTGTTATATGAGACTCCTTAACCTATAGATTCCAGTGAATAGGAGCTAAATGTGCTTTCACACTGATAGCTTGGATTCATTCCCATCCAAACTCCTTGAGGTGGCTGGGGTAATAGTCTGGAAGGTAATCAATAGTTCTCTGATATAGGGTGATGGCAGTTGCCCTTAAAGAAGCGGTGGTGTCTTGACTCCAACCTTCTTTTTGGGAAAAATAGATGTAGCCAGTTATAGCATATCTTGAAGTCAATCATTTAAACCAGAGGGATCAAATATGCAGTCTACAACATACAGCCTAATGTGGCTCAAGCCAGATTTAAATGCAATTGGGGAATATTTAACAAAATAAAGTGAACGTAAATATTACATTTTAAAGCTAAATAATACATTTAGTCATCAATCACCAAAACCCTGGGCTCATGAAGAGCCCTGCACAAGCTCATTGCCTTAGCTTAATTGCAGCAGCAAAGACTGCTTGGAGCTACCCTGGTCAGGACTAAGCAGGTGCAGCCTGTGACAGAAATTCCCTTTCAGAGGGTCTTAACAATGCTGCCTATACGTTCAAAGGTTCAGTTTAAAGTGCTGTTTTAGTCCATAAATTTCAACATGGCTTGACTTTCAGGGTCACATTTTCTTTATGGAAATTATACATCTAGTGCATGTTCCCCAACAAATCTCCCCATTGCTGACAGTTTAAGAGGGCAGGGATAGTGATTTTTTTTTCTTCCTCTGTAGCCTCCAAGTTATAGAACAGTCTTCCCAAAAAGTTAGATCAGCACATACAAATCCATTGGTTTCCTAGAAACTAGTAAAAGCAGAACTTTTTCAGAGCCCTTGAGGAATGATGAGGGATACCATCTATATTATTGCAATGTACAGTTTCTCTGTTCTTTACTATTGCTTTAGTTTTAATAGTTTATTCTGTTAAACGTTTGGGAATCTATGCAGATTATGATGGCATACAGAAAACAAACATTAATATTCTAGTCCTTTCTGGAAGGTTCAGAATTTTAAGCAATCTCATACTTTCCAGATATATTGGATAAAGTTGACTGGAAACAATTAAGCTGTTGTCTAACATATCTGAAGAATACCAGACTGGTAAAATATAATTATTCTGATTTCTAATCTTAGCTGTGTATTGCTGGAAAAATCAGTATCTTAAAACCAAATCACCAAATAAATGTTCACGAGTTATTATACCAGTGATCCTAGCATAGCTATACCAATTTCCAATGTTGTAACTGCTTCTCATCAGTCTCATAAAACGAAGAATTGTTTTGATTTATTGTTTTGTTTTCTCAGGGCTTAATGCACTGATTCCTTTCTTTCAAGAACTACACTAACAAGCCTCCATTCTGCCCTCATCCATTTGCTCTTGGCAAATGGCCAGATTTAAAATTTGGCTTTTAAAATACTTATATTTGACAAGCATGGTTTACAATAAAATGTTACAGCATATTCTCTCCTTTCAACAAAAAAATGTTTTAATTCAGGGCTATGATAATCATGTCCTATGTAGAATATTATCAAATATAAAGGACTCAAGAAGGGTGTGGCCCACTCTATCTTATTTCAAGTTTCTGTGTTTCTTTTCCTATTGACTCAATTCAAATTAGGCTGGATTCCTTCTTGTTGGGTTGGGAGGCTTTGGTTTACACACACACACACATACACACACACATGTATATACGTGTGTGTGTGTACAGTTAACATGGTTTTCAAAAAATTAAAACAAAGTCTGTACATACATGGAGTACACTGAAACCAAATTAACTCTATTATTGGTCCAAGGAGGTAGAAGAGCTCAATTAGCAAAAATCTGCTCAGGGATTAACATGATACTCATATACAAGGTCCAGGTTAAGCAGTTTCCACAGTATGATTTTGAGCATATGTCCAGTACTTTCACAGAGAACATTGCGAAGTGCTTTGAAGTCCTGAATACGGAATAAGAACAACCCTTGAATGAAATCAAGTTGTTAATAATGAATGTGAAAAAAAACCTACTGAAGATAAACAGAAAAAAAAAACTAGAAGTCAGAACAAATGGTCGAAACTGCCCAGAAGAGAAGCCGAACCTAGAAAAGAACAATTGATGTAAAAGTATCAAATATGGAAAAATAAAAGAAGTCTTCCAAAAGATCTCTGAACTCATGAAGGAAGTTCTAACCTCAGATTAATTTGTTAAAAGATGCTAACGGACAGATTAACTGCCTCAAAGAAGATCAAACAAGGATGGAAGGAGTATAGTTAAAGTCTGACAGAAAAGATGTCAACATCCAGGATTCTTAGGAGATATTCCCAACTTTCAAGAAACACTACTACTAGAATATGAAGCTGGATCAGCACTTCAATCGTTACTAAACTGGAAAGCAACAGGAACTGACAATACCCATGGAAATATGGCAAGCAACAGAAGAAGTGATAAAGGTTCTAACCAAACTATGCCAGCAAATCTGGAGACAGCCATAGTGGCCGATCAATTGGAAGAAGTCAACCTACATTCCAATACAGAAGAAGGAGACTTGGAGCATGCAAACTATTATACAACACCCTTAATTTCACATGCTAGCAAAACAATGCTTAGGATCATCCAACCCAAATTAGAGCCCATATGAAAAGGGAAAAGCCAGATGTTCAAACTAGCTTTAGAAAAGGTCAAGCAAGCAATATAAGACATTATTGTTGATACATGCTGGATAACTGAGAAATTAATTACCATTTAAAAAATACCAAAAAGAAGTCAGCATGTGCTTTGATGATTATAGAAAGACTTTTCATTGTGTCAACCATTATTAACCTATGGAATATCTTTAGGAAAACAGGAATCTGACAACACATTTTTAATTAGAAATTTTTAATGTAATAAAATACACATAAGAACAAAGATAGAAAATAAGAAATAAAGAAGAAATTGAAAATAACGAAAACATATAATTGAACCTTCCGCCATTAATTCTATCAAATAACTGTCATCTTAAACTATTCCCAACCTTTTCATCTCAGGCATATAAGACTAGCACTTAGGCTTATATACCACTTCACAGTGCTTTACAGCCCTCTCTAAGCAGTTTACAGAGTCAGCATATTGCCCCCAACAATCTGGGTCCTCATTTTACTGAGGAAGGAAGGAAGGAAGGAAGGAAGGAAGGAAGGAAGGAAGGAAGGAAGGAAGGAAGGAAGGAAGGAAGGAAGGAAGGAAGGAAGGCTGAATCAACCTTGAACCAGTCAGGATCGATCTCCTGACAGTGAACTGAATTAGCCTGCAATACTACATTCTAACCACTGCGCCACCTCTACCTCATTGTCCTCATACAAAACCTATATCCAGGTCAGGAAGCCACAGTCCAGTCAGAACATGGCAAAGAAGTGAACAAGGTTGTTTGCTCTCCCCTTATTTATTCTCTTTACGTACTGAAAGATTCCAATTAAGTTATGGTAGAAACTATGAAGCAGATATATACATAAAGTTTGATATGTACATAAAGTTATTATACAAAACATATACTTCTAATATGTTAAACAGTTCTTTCCTAATCTTCATTTTAAAGCACTGGGAATTCTGTTCCTTTTACTCAGGGCTTAATGTCCTTTTACCTTACATTTAATCCTATACTATCCTCCACTTTTAACAGTTACGTCCTGCTGAAGTTTGAATTAGCCTTGTGTTTCCTTTTACTGAGTTGCTTCTCCACTTCTCAGTCCTCATTAGTTTGTAAGAAGGATAACTATTACTTCATGCTGGCTGACTGTAGCTTGTCTGCATTTCTGGAAAGGTTGGGAGGTTATAAGGCTCTGCTACTACTTTCATAGCTATAATAATTTCAGAGTCTTGTTGCTCACTTCACCAACTACTTTAGTTTCGCCTCCTTCACATACAATTGGCTTTAGTTCTCCAATACAATTGTCAGCCCTTCCAGGTTAACCAGACAGTAAACACAGCTAGATGAGCTATTACTACTTTACCACATTACATTTTGTGCAGGTCTGAAGGTACAGACTTCCCATCTCACTTTTAACTAATCAGGTAGGGTGGCTCTTTCCTAAGTTTTTTTCTCTGACCCATTAAGCCACTGGGGGCTCCTTCCTTTCTTGTCTGATTGTTTCCTAGGTAGCTTCTTTTCCCCTGGACACCCAAGGTCATTCACACATTCCATTACAATAATTTCCTTTCTTTCTTCCACCAACAGCACACCCTTTGCCTTCAGCATTTCTTTTATCTCCCTTCAGCACAAATGTGGTCCTTTTCTCTCTTAAAGCAGTGTTTCCCAACCTGGCTTTGTGGACAGGTGGAGGAGAAAGGATGAATCCACATGATTGGAGGGCAAGCAGGCGCGCGCAAAGCTCCATTTCTGCTACTCATGCAAATGGAACACAAATGCATATGTTCACCCACTGCTTGCGCAAGTGAGGATCTGCACACTCACCCGATATTTTCATGGCCCAGTTCTGAATGACTCAAGGCCTTGTAGTGGGCTGTGGCCCAGGGGTTGGGGAACCCTGTTTTGAAATACAATGGATCACAAACTATAAGGAGGAAAATTCACACCAGTAGCCTTGAGCCGTTCCTTACAGACATACAGGTATATACATATACAGTATCTGTGTGTATATCTTTGTATATCTATCTATCTATCTATCTATCTATCTATCTATCTATCTATCTATCTATCGAGAAGGTGAGTTAGAAGATAAGTGTGATTTTAAAATTGGAGGAAAAAATATCAGTAACCTGCACTATATTGATAACACTACTCTGATAGCTGAAAATGCAAAAGATATAAACGCTCTAATAATAAAAATCAGAAGTACAGTAGAAAATATGTGATTAAGATTAAATATAAAGAAAACACAATTAATGACAACAAGTACAGCAACTAGCTGTATTAGAAAAATAGGGTACCAACAAGGTAGTTGTACTTCCCTTCTGGAAGTTTAGATAATGATGGAAACTTAAGACCTTTCAATTGAACTGTACTTTAGTACTCCATTCCTATTATAGCTTGCTTGAGGTTTCAAGTTCTCATTACCACAATTTGGTTTTCTTCTGAAGAAAGTTTGGTTCAGTGAATTGTTTTAAATATCATCATCCCTAGAAAACTTGTTCTTTATTAATTGGCACCACCATTTGAATCAAACTCAGCAATTAATGAAGCTAGCCAGCACACCAAGGAAAGCATGTACTTACATCTCATTCACTTTTTCTTCTGGACCCTGCACTTGTCCAGTAACTGTTCCTTGTCTGGTATTTTTAACCCAGCCAACTACACCTGCTTTTCTAGCTTTATCCTCTGTGTACTGGTTTAGAAAACAAACAGAAAAAGAAGATATAGTCAGCATGCATTTAGGATTTAAACTGTGATAATATAGGTGGTGCTTGACTTATGATCCCAATTGAGCCAAAATTTCTATTGCTAAATGAAACAGTTGTTAAATGAGTTTTGCCACATTTAACGACCTTTCTTGCCACAGTAGTTAAGTGAATCACTGCAGTTGTTAAGTTAGTAACATGGTTGTTAAGTGAATCTGACTTTCCCATTGACTTTGCTCGTCAGAAGGTTCCAAATGCTGATCACATGACACTAGGACACTGCAATTGTCATAAATATGCCAAGCATTCAATTTTTGATCATGTGACCACAGGGATGCTGCTACGGTCATAAATATGAAAAACAGTTATAAGTCAATTTTTCAGTGCCATTGTAACTTCAAATGATTACTAAATGAATGATTGTAAATTAAGGACTACCTGTACAGTTCAGACTCAAAACTTCAGTTTTATTCAATATGATTTGCTTTTTAGAGTCTTCCTCTAAAAGACCAGTAACATCTTAAATTTGTTTCTGCTATTTTAGATTTGGCAGTAGAATTAACCTCATGCTTTCCATTGCACAGAAATGATAGAGTTGGAAGGGACCTTGGAGATGTGTGGGATGGTTTTCTAAAAATATATTCAGAGCATTTTCCAAAAATAAGAGATACAATTATATTAAAGAGTCACACAGATGTTTGAATAACTTGCCCAGTGGCTTCATGTCTTGTATATATTAAAAAGGAGGCAGAAGAAGATAGTGCCCTAAGTACATCCTAAAGCTAAGGCCTATTGCTCCATGCTCTCTGCCAACCAACATGGACTGGAATCTGTCCTGAAGAAAGAACTATTGCAAAATGAGGTCTTTCTCTTCCAATAACAATACAGAAAATATGTTGAGGCCCTACAAAAAATGCAGATAAGAGCAACAAAGATGATAAGGGTTCTGGAGGATAAATCATAAAATGAACAGCTATGGGAACTGGGTAAGTTTAGCCTAATGAAGAGAAGGTTCGGGGAGATACGATAGCAGTCTTTCAATACTTGAAAGTGTGTCACAGGGAAGAGGACATCAATTTATTGATGAGGGCACCTGAAAGAAGGACAAGAAGCAATGGCTGGAAGCTTGCCAAAGGAAGATTCAACCTGGAAATAAGGAAGAATTCCCGACAGTGAGAAATATAAATCAATGGAATAGCTTCCTTTTGGGGTTGGGTGCCTCATCAGGGCAGGTTTTTTAAAAAAGATTGGACAATCATTTGTCTAGGATTGTATAAAGACTCCTGCCTTGGGCAAGGTATTGGAGTAGAAGACCTCCAACATCCCTCCCACCCCTATAATTCTAGATTCAAATATTTTATTAGTTTATCAACATATAAAATACAAAAATACAAAGAAAAATGAAGATAATGAGAAAAGAGAAAAGTGTAGGGCAGGGGTGTCAAACTGCTGGCCCGCGGGCTAGTTTCATCATACCGAAGCCACCCCCACCCCATTGCCAGCAATGCAAAAAGAGTTGCGATATGTCGCGACATGTCACGTGACATGGCGAGTTTGACACCCGTGGAGTAGGATAAGGAAAGTAAAAAGAAAAGCACTGACTTCCGATTCCTTTTGATGCAGTAGAATAAGGTAATAACATAAGCCCTCAACTTTTTACTTATACAAATTTCTGCAGAAAAACTGAAGCAAGTAAGGGGAAAAAAACCTCAACATAGAAATTAATACATAGCCTTGCCCCATCTGATAACTATTTAGAAATATGCCTGCTTGAAAAAACGTTCTGTGTGTAACACAGCACAGATAACTACTATAAACACTGTTCAGTTTAGGCCATCAAGAATATGACATCTTTTGCAACTAGGCTGTTCATCTTCTCTAGACATCCTGCCCAATCAAAGTCCTCTAATGAAGCATTTCACATGAATGCTGCAAATGTTGTTATGGAGTTTAAGATCTGAGCTATGATTTATACAGTACTTGCTTCAAGATACACTAAGTGCCAGGCTTTTAAGATAAGTTTGTTCTGAGCCTGGCACTAACAATTTCAAGATAAGACATAAAGGATTCTTCTGTGATAGGAGAGAGGAAATTCATATATTGAACAAATATTCATCTGGATTTATTTTCTTAAGTGAGAACCAAATAACTATACTTTGCACTCTGTGCCCAAAAGAATTTGGATTATGTCCATTCAAATGGTTACACTGCATTTTATTTATAATGTTTCAAAATTATTTCTTGAGAGAATTAGTTATTTTTTTTTGCAGCCAAATCCTACAGAACAGTACAACATCACAGTCCTCTTGATCTTCTAGCCACTGCAAAACAATTTCTAATGCACTATACATTAGGATCCAGAAATAATAACAGTATTATCAATATTTGCAGCACTAAAGTTCTCATTTTTGAAATCTGTGAATTTCTGTCTCAGGCACTGAGTACCTGTCCGATCAGCTCATAAATTTTACATAATGCCAAAGTGGAGAAACCTGATTTATGCTAACCTTCCTCAGCTTCCCTTAACGTGAGGATTACCATTTAATCATTTCTTGTTCACCAAGACATCTCATTCGGAAAAACCTTGCATAAAAAGTATTTTCTAATGCTGATTTTTTTTCACATATCATTGTTTTCCATTTCATTTTTTCATTTTCATTCCGCGTTGCTGAAAATGCAAGAAGGCATTTTTCCTTTTGGTTGTAAAATTGTAGATCTCCCAATTCAAAACGCCCCTGCTAATATTGTCACTGTTTCACCTTTTCCCAACCTTTCAACAATCTCTACTTTGCTTTGGAAAGTGGACAGAATCTGCTTGTGTTTCTTGATTATTATGAAAGATGGGCTTTCCCATCTTTCCAGGATGCACAATCTTAAATATGGATAATGGGAAATGCAAGATTTCCAGGTAACCTGGGACCCTTGTACAGTGCTTAAATTCATCTAAAAGTACCTCTTTTCATATGTCGCTCAATAAAATACTAAACAGATTAGGGTATTTATATAACTAATGGTCATAAAATCAGGGTTCTACTGTAAAAAGATTTCTACTGAAGCATACCCTACAGTTATATGATGCTTAACTCTCCATATTAACACAGAAACTTGGCATTGCAGATTTCTGATGTCTCCACATAGGCTTTCTATTTTATTCTCAAAAAAGTTACAGAGAAGTGATGCAAAGATGATGTACTTCATGCTGCCTTACCATTCTGAAGCAAACCCCTGAGAAAGAAGAAAATAAAATTATAAATATTTGCTCAAACTAAGGAGCAACATTTCATTTGCATTTACAAAACAACATTATAACAACCAATCAAATATTGCAATACATTTTTTAATTTGATAGGTTTTGTAAAATGAAAAATGATTAAGAATAACATCTTTTGAAAAACAAATAAAATTGATAGAACAATGGATAGATCCAGTGAGATCCAGATGTGCAACAGAATTCAGTGGAATATTGCTTAACTGGCCTCTACTGTTAGTGAGATACACATCTGGGTTAGGGAACTATATTTGGGGCAGGTAATATTGGAAAATAATTTCACACTATGATATTCAGTTGTTTTTGCTAAAGCTGTTGTATAGTTTCTTATTATGTTCTTTCTTTTGGGATCATAAAGAACTGATAAACAGAGCAAAATAAAAACTTATCACAGTTTATCATCTGTGTTTTTATTACGATACTAGGTTGCTGTACTACTGATTTTACTCAGCTATATGTAGGGTAGGAAAAATATTTTAATAAAATAATATATTCAATTATCTTTCACTTATATAAATATGTTTAAAATCAAGTTTTTCACTATATAATCATAACTCAGAAACTGAATATGTCACTTTGGATAGTGAGATGAGCAGCATATAAATTAATTACACAAATAAATAAACAAACAAACAAATAATTTATTTAGCAATTAATGGAATTGCAATACAATAAATTTGTCATGTAGATAGAAAATATTTAAATCAGAACTATTACATAGATTCATCATATACAAAGAGAGAATGCATATCATTTTACAAAATGCATCCAAATTGTATAGCAATTCAGAAGTACTGATGTATGTAAAGAGAAATATGGCTTTTCTTTACATGTAGAGACATACTCTCCATTCCACATCTTTTAGATGTGGATATCAGCTATGTACTTGCATGTTCTTAAAGGGCTGGATTCCTAACTGTGGTATGTCCTACATAGAAGCCCAGTTGGTGTCTACTTTTATATTATTTTCCTGACAGGAAAATATTTTATTCTTTTATTATGGTTCTGTTATTGCACTCAATCAATTTTAATCCTCTGCTTTTCATTTTAGATTAGTTGTCATATTTTAACTTTTTTGTTTTAAATTAGGAATATTGCATTTGAGTTCTATTTTTATAATTGTGGTTTTAACTCTTTGCTCCCTATATCAGAGAAGGCCATATTTTGATGAGCTCTTTTAGAGAGAAAAAGATGTAGGATGAGTTATATAAATAACCATTTCTTTTTTCTTTCCTGGTTTATTTGTATGTGCAGTCATTTCAGTGACAAATCTACCATCATTTTACCCAGAATGACTGATTTTGAGCTGAAGTGGAGTTCTATGAAAACAACAAGAAAATTAAACTCTCCCTGAAAATATGTATCCAAAGCATTGTACAAATGCTCACAATCATCATCCAAAATCACTGCTCAAAAAAATAGTTTACAGTGCTTTCCCTGAAGAGAGAACACATATATCGGTCAAGTTGTTGCTGTTCCTACGCCTTTGTATTTCACTAAAGTGTGCTTGTGCAGTTTTGAAAGATGGCTGATATGGATAAATCCCTATGTATAAAATGTATTAAGAAAAAGACTATTCTCTCTGATGACTAGTTTTTGCATGAAGGAGGGTTTAATAATACAATCTTTCATTGCCAGTTTAAAATGTTTTATCTCCCCCGTTTTTAAAACACATACTAATCCTAGTAAGCAGGTGAACAGCTCTCCTGTGAAGATAGCATAGGAGGTAATGATAACTTGTAACTGGGGCAGCATTAATGGAGCTGGGGACATGGAAACCGTGAGTGCCTTTTCTTGCACCTGCTGCGCACGTGCAAGACCCTTGCCGGCTCTTCAATTCACTTTTAAGACAAATTGAGCACAGAACTGTTTTGAGCAAGCACGTCCAGCGTGATCTGGCAATTAAATTCGCTTTATATAACGGTTCTCCTTGCCAGCTTTTCTTTGTAACCCGAGAAGGGCAGTTCGTGCACTCTGAAGCTATTTTTGCCAGTGCCGTTCTCTTCCCCTTTCCTAAATATTTAGCTTTCGCATCGTTCTCCGCTGCTCACCTTGAACCCGGCCGAAAACCTCGTAATCCACCGATTTGAGGATCCGAGACATAATGGTTGCAGGGAAAGAAGTAGAGTCACTCAGGCTGGAAAAGAACTGAGAGCAAGCGCTGACTAGCCTGATACAGAAACTCAGCCGGCAGAGGCCGCGACGGAAACTCACAAGGCTCAAGATTCACTAGAGGGCAATACGTCAGCCGGCTAATCCCGGCCAATTCGATAGGATGAATCCCTCTTTCCAAAAAAAAAAAAAAAAAAAAGGGGGGGGGTATTTTAGAGGGAACTTTAAAGAGCTTGGCTGGATATAACCTATTCCTTTCCTTCAACTCTTTTAGAATTTGGGGTAAGGAAGTGAAATAATCCTTCAAACTAAGAACAATTGAGATCCCCATGCACTTTGCAGTGCTTGTATTCCTTCTCCACTTGTCTCTTTTGAATGTTACATGTTAAATTGGATGTTTAATACATGTACTATCCATTGTCTTTTTATGTGTAAATCCTCAAAAATCTGAAGGACTGGATCAAGGCCTAGTGTGTATAAAAGCATTCTGTGACTAATAACGCTGAAAATGTAGAAAACTTTCAAGGGGGAGGTTCATAAGGTATAAAAGCCAGGATGGAAGGACTGGAATTCACATAAATTGATGTATTAATGGAAGAATGTGATAGAGAGATGAGACTAAGAATGGTATCTTTTTCTAATGTTACACTTGTATAAACCATTTAGCCAAGGTCAGTCAAAACAAATTCCCAGGTGATGAGTAACTAGAAGATGTGATGAAAAAGAGCCAAAACATCTATAGGAATATTGTTCTGTTAGTTGTTCTGAGCAAAAGTTTGTGTATTTTGAAAGTAAATTGGAATTAACCAACATTAAGACATTACCAGGTACACATAAATGAAAATCTTTGATTCAGTAAGAATGGTCACGTTCTAGGCAAAAGTCCATTTGGAAACCGTCGAGATACCCACTTCCCAGACAACCCAATCAATGAAATCTCACCTACTATTTGTAAAAATGCTCATTTCCAGACAGCAACACCAAGCCACCAATCACATATAATTAACAGCTAAGATCTGAAACATTCTGGTAAGATCTGATTATGGCAAGATCTGAAACATTAATGGGAAAATTTCTGTTTCTTCTTTTATACGAAGGCAATTCGGAAATAAACCTCCATTTGGTTATCAATGACAGAGACTGCAGACACAGAACCTTTATTATATACATTAGAAAACTACAACATTACATTACTTTTTGACATAATCATTCAAATTGAGACACTTGTCATAACATCTTACGTACAAGGTTTAAATTTCCTTAGTAGTCACTCGGTGCCAAATCTGGGCTACGGGGGGTGGGGGTGATGAAAAACATCCCAACAGAACTGCTTCAAAAGTTCTTGGGTGAGTCTAGTGGTGTGCGGGCAAGCATTATCATGAACCAACACCACACCAGAAGTCAGCATGCCCGACGCTTGTTATGGATGGCTTGTCTGAATTTTCATAACGTTTCATAGTAGATTTCTGAAATGATGGTCAAATCACACTCCATGAACTTCACTAACAGTACTCCTTTGGCATCTTCACATTTGGTGAGATTTTCTATGGCACCACTTCTGGTGTGTTGGTTCACAATAACACTCACCCGCACACTACTAGTTTAGAAGAGTATTTCCTATTATCTCACTCAAGAAATGCTTTTTCCAAGAGGGCATATGTTATTCAAACATGAATTGTCTAAAAATGAAAGATGCAGTTTTTAAAATTCTAAACATGTTTGCATATACAAATTAATAAAGATTGAAAAATTAACAGATAATTATAGCTTACATTTCTTTAAATCAGATAATATGACCATCTAGACAATGTTTCAAAGAGAACAAAGTGATATGTAGAGAAGAAACAGAAGGCCTTAGATAAAATTAGAAGCAAAGCAGAACAAATAACTAACATGCAAAGAATATTTTAGACATATTGGTGTCTCAAAGGCACTTAGAGGATTGTGCTTTCCAAACTTTACTAAATATCCAGTCAATATCAGTTTCTTCTTGAACAAAATGCAGGTAATGCTCTCTTCTATCTTTCTGAATAGAAAATAATGCCCTGAAGGAATCCTTCTGGCCCATACAGTTGAAGTGTGAGAGAATGCTCAGAGATGTACTGTATATAAACAGATCTTGTCCACACTTTGTTTTATTCAATTTCTGGTACAGCAGTACCATGCAATAACTGAAATAAATCACCATTAGTAGGATTGGCATTTGAAATACTATGTTAGGACAAGTGACAATAGGAAGGATTTTGATAGGAAAGGTTTTGATAGGAAGTCAAAATTCTAGAGGTTGAACTAATTTCTAATAATAAGAATTTTGTGACTATTTTATGTCTATTGCATATGCTGCTTTACTTCTCTAGTCGATAAGAGGTCAATGTTAGGCAATTTTCAGCAAATGTTACCAAGTCTCTTTTTCCCCAGGCCAAGCTTATACAGGTAGTCTTGAACAGACTAAGTTTAGAGAACTTTGTTCTCATGATCAGAACCTAATCAAAGACTGAATGTACTTTTTTACCTGGAAGATACCAAATCAGCTTTATTGGCTTACTACAGAAGACAACTTCATATAGAAACATGATATTTTATCTCTAGTCCTACCTTTTCCCGTTACAAATGGCATATGGTGCTTTTCTGAAATTTGATGCTGTTCTGTAATATCTATTCCCATTCACCTCTCAATTCTTTCTGCTTGGTTTAGTCTTATAAGGCTGCCTGACTCCATTACAATTCTGTGCAATATACATGTTAAAATAACTAATACAAACAAAACAACAGGCTCCCCCCCTCCCACAAAGTGCAAGGTATAAATATAAAGGGGGCAAAACCACTTTAGATTCTTGGGATTCTTGACTATTAATTATGAATAATCTTTTATTATTAGAACAATTATTTTAAAATATTAAAATATTTTAAAACCCATTTCAAATGCATCTAACAGAAAGGTTTAAAAATAAGTAGATATAATGTCCCTTATTGACTTCAATTCTCTTTTTTGATTTTTGGAAAAGTCTTATTAAGGGAAAAAGTATAAAAGCTCTGCTGTAGATTATATTGCAATAGATTAAACATGATTTACTTAAAATCACTTCGACTGATACTTTGTACTCACTGTTATTTCCTAGGAAACGGAAGAATTAATTCTTGCCCTTTTCATCCAATAATGGCAACCATGTGGCTGCCCAAGACCACATGAAAGAATTTAAGCAACAGGGAAGTGTGTGGGTTGTCCTTGACTTGAAATTCGAAGATGGTGGTTTGCCATCAATTACATCAACCAAAAGTGTGAATCAGTTTAATGCATTTTCAATAACAACCCACTGTTTCTGACAGCAAAAGAAGCTGTCGTTAACAATTCAGGATTCTGAGGAGATTTTTTTTTCAAGCAGGCTTTTCAGTTAAATTTTGCTGGATAGATTCACATCACAATCAGGTTTCATTTAGAACAGTTACTTTCATTGGACAATGAGTCAAACATTCAAAGAGCATATATTATATCTAACAGAAACAAAGGAAAATTCCTCCACATTTTTTTTCTAAAATTGCCAGTGCAGATACTCTTCCAGCAACCTATAATACATATTAGTATACTAATGAAATTACTTTATATTTTTCAACATTCTACATTTGTGTTTTCAGTCCTTATTGTCCAGTTACATATTAAGCTACCTCTTATTGGAGAGAAATGATTATAAGATCATCTCAAGTGATGAAAATAAGCCAGTCTAATTTCTATTGTCATTGGCAGGGGTGTCAAACTGCTGGCCCATGGGCCAGTTTCATCATACTGAAGCCGCACCCACCCTATTGCCGGCAATGCAAAGAGTCACGATACATCGCAACACATCACGTGACGAGGTGATTTTGACACCTGCGTTGTAAAGATATTCCCCCAAAACAGCATATTGTATTTGCTTTTCTCCATTTCTTTTCTGAATCTGGAATTTAGTATTACAGATGTCTAATGTGCAACTAAATTTACATCAAATTAAATCAGGGCATGTTTTAGAAAACATAATGGCTGGTTCATACTTAATTCTTATGCCATAAGTTATAATTTAATAACCATAATACAATAAATTAAAAAGAAACAAATGATGCTACAGTTTAGTGTTCTCTAGGCACTTTTATTTAACCTTAGTTAATCTCAGGCAAAAAACCTCACTGCCCTTACTTAAAAACTGATTATGCTGGTGTTAGTTGATTTAAAACAGAAGGCTGTTGGGTGCAAAAGTGCATCAGCAGTTTGCTGAGTTGATAACCACAGCAGTGGTAATTCTCTTCAATGGAGCAAAGGCATTTCTTTCAGTTTTAAAACTTGGATCTCTTCATTTGTTCTCCTGCTGAGTACCAGGAAATGACAGGTGGTAATGGTGCTGTTTTGAATACTATCAGTCAGTATTCTTCCCTCTTAACAAGAAAAAGTTAGTGTTACAAGCTGTGCAGATAGAATTTTAGACTCAAGATATTAAAAGTACCCATTATGTGAGTCAGGAACCGACTGTGCCTTTTTCACATTCAATGACAAGTAAAATGTTGCAAAAACTGAACAGATGGATTTAGCTCTGATTCATAGCTTATACGTGTTTATTATAAAAGTATTGTCTTTCTGGTTCAATTAAAGAAACATGTTAGAAAGGAGTAAAATTTTCAATTATTTCCTTTTTTAGAAACAAAAATGCAGTGCTCACATCAATGATAGACTGTTGAAATAGTCATTGTGAAAACTCCTCCTAGTTTTCTTATTCCAAACTTTGCAGATGGAAATCATCACCCTGAATTGTACAGCAACAAATGCAGCACCTGCAACATTTGTGGTATATGTAAGAAGTGGTTTTTACATAATAGCACCTGGGCTGTTACATTTTATACAAACTGCAGTTTCTAAGTAGATTTCAAAGGATACCCATGCAACATGCTCTTTGGCAATCTAATCAGGAGGTAATAAAAGTGTGAATCATTGTAACCAGAACCTACTTCCCCAAAAGGACTAGAAATGGCATACCAACCAAACCTGGACAAAATCTCCAAAGCAATATTCCTTGCTTGTCATCCCAATGGTTGCTTTAAGTTTAGAAGGGCTCCAATCCGTATGCACAGATCTGCTTTTTAAGTGCTACT